TACTAGTAGCGATGCCCTTGTTACTAGTAGCGATGCCCTTGCTACTAGTAGCGATGCCCTTGTTACTAGTAGCGATGCCCTTGTTACTAGTAGCGATGCCCTTGTTACTAGTAGCTTCTTGTTCCTAGTAGTAAGGCCAGGAGCCCCTAGTAGCGTCCTTGCTCCTAGTATCGTTCATGCAGTTCCCAACGCAATGAACCCAGCTGTCGCACTGCCCCACCGTCTCAACGATCGGAGCTGAGATGCACAATACGTCGAGAGAACATCCCTGCAATGAAGACGGTCACATGCTGGGCCTTGTCATGCCTCAGAAGGAGTAACTATATACATGTTATATCTATTCAATTTTATTCGTTGTGTTATTTATGTACATGCAAAATAGGCAGCTGTGAGAGAACTCATCGGCTTTCTCTATCCAAGAAGGCTTGGCAGGTCCTCCCGGTGGGAAGCAATTTTGTTGTCAAGTCAACAGAAAAACTGCTGCTGGTGCCAAGTGTCTCGAAGTATTCCCCAGGATAATCCCGGCTCCAGTTGATGAACCTGCTCAGCCAAGTTATCCAGATTTGCAGCTTTTGTGTTGTTTTGATTTTCTCACAGCGCAAGCTTGTGGGACTGTCTAACCGCAGCTGCCAATTTGAGATCTTCAAAATTGAAAGATCAAATTGATTGAAGATCAATTGTGACGTGGTTCCCTCAACTGCGACGTTCTTCTATATCAATGAAGGGCTTTGGCTTTGGTTCAAGGTGGGCGTCGGCCTTCCAAAGACATCCAGATTCGTCTCGTCGCCAGGCTCTCGTGCCAAAGGCGGGGCGGTTTCTCGCAGCAAGGTCTTGGCACACTCCCAGACCGATCTGAGCACGGGAGCTGTCGGGTTTTGGAATCATCTTGAACTTGAGAGAGGAGGGGGGTGAACGAAAGGTAGCAGGGAATCAGGCGCAATCCGGGAGGAGGTGAGAGGCCCCCCACTTGTTTGAAGAAAAGTGACTGAGCGTGATGAAAGAAAAACTAATGCACAAACTAATCACAATCACGTCACATATTTCTCAAATGCAACTTCGGATTTACATAGTGACGTGCTGCGACCCTGTAAATTGCGTGGCCGCAGGCCATGCTTGCAAACAGGACGAGCTCAAAAACACTGGTATTTACGAGGCTTTGTTGCCGTCGATCCACAGCCGCGGCAAGGTCTAAGGCCACGCTTGAAGACAGGAGGAGCTGAAAACACTGGTATTTACGGTGTTTTGTAGCCGTCGATCCAGAGGCGCACCACGGTTGTGTGCTGGAAAAGCGCAGAAAACCGTGTAAATACCGGCGTTTTCTGCCGGGAAGGTGCACAAAACCCTGTAAATACCATAGTTTTGTGCAATTTTGAAGCCTCCAAAAGCCTCAAAATCCCTTTCCGACAAAATCTTTCCTGGCTTTTGGTCTTTCTTCGGTCATTTTTCAAACCGAGACGCATCAAAAACCATCGGTTTTTGCGGTGTTTTTTGCCGGACAGCCACAAAAAACGCTGTAAATTCCATGATTTTTTGTCACTGTTGAGGACTGGAAGAGCTGAAAACACTGATATTTACAGTGTTTTCGGACCGTTGACCCCGAGGCGCACCAGGGTGGAGTTGAAAGGGGGGGGGGGGGCCCCCCCCCCGGCCATCAAACGAAGATGTCGGGGACCATTTCTCTGAGAGATAGGCTCCAGCTCTGAGTATAATACATTTTTGCTAAAGCAAAAGGAAAACTCAGGTAGCGTAACCGCTACCTTTCGTGAAAAGGGTGAAACCATATTCCAAGTTAAGTTGATGGGACTTGGGAGGTAGGCTGTGAGGAGGAGTGAGCAGGTAAGTAGGTAGCTACTAGTAAGTGGCGCTACTACGTAACTATGTGTGGCCACTACTGATCGGACGTTAAGGGCCTCAGGGTCAATGATTTAGTTCGATGTTTGCGGACACTTAACACGTGAAGCGGTTGAGCACAGATTCTGTCACATCCCCGAAAAGAGCTGGTTGAGCTGATCCTCATGCATTATATTCACTGACTGCATCACCTGCAAAACCTGTGCAAACGAACGACTTCAACACAACGGGTGAAACCTTCGACTTCTCCATTTTCGGGGAGCAAGGACGCTACTAGGGGCTCCTGGCCATACTACTAGGAGCGATCGGACAGCTACGAACGGGGCTCCGGCCCATCGACCTTTTTGGCCCGCTCCCGTCGCCTCTGCATGGTCTCATCCAACTGTCCAAAGCCCGCCACCTCCGCACCGCTGCGCTTCAGCAGCAGCAGCAAGGGGTCTGTTGGATTGAGTCCCATGGCCTGGACAGAGAACAGAATGGACGATGTATTGTGAAAAGATCCGCAACAGCGATGCATTGGTTCAAAAGTAATTACCAAATATGAAGTGACCAGAAGATCCATTTATCAAGCTTCTCTTAAGCTTGCAACCAAAATGTGTTTCAACCATCTGTTCATCAACGGCGGAAAGCTTCTTATGGCGGCAAAAGCCAAAGAACTTTTGCAAGAATGACAAGTTCACCTGCTCATTCCATCTCATTCAAATAGATCCACGATGAATCACGATGATCCACATCCTCATGTGCTGCGTTCGAAGTGCCTCGAATTCCTCCTTCGGAGTGGCCGCCAGGACCGAGCGCAAGGTGTTGTGTGTCCTCGAGTCCTCTCATCGAGTTGATCTGTGCTTCATCAAAGGATTCTTAAGAGACTTGAGACGTGATCAAAGAATATCAGAGGTTGGAGGCCATCGCTCTTAGGTTGGAGTGGAGTGATTTGACCACTCGAAGAGGAATCAGCTTGGTCTGTTTGAGCGTCCTGTGCCAGGCGTAAGACATCCAACTGCAAATGCTCTGACAGCCGACGAAGTATGCAACCTTCGCAGGTCTTCCGAGGGAAGAAAAGCAACGGTCTAAAGTGTCTGTCGTCTAAGAAGGTACCTTTCCATACTTTTCCCTCTGTGATTAAAGGTCACGACCAAGCTGAACATTGCTAAATTGAAGTTTGAAGTTACTATTCCTTGCTCCAGCCCGTATGCCAGGAATCTTTGCGCAAAGTGGTTCAGGGTGTTTGCTACCACAGTTACTACATATTACTACCACAGTTACAGGTCACTGCGAAGCCGATGTCGTGAAACTCTCATCGCCGAGCGACGCTGCCGCAACGAGAGCAGTCGTGAGAGGTACTTCCGCAACAAGCGCCCGACGAGCAGGTCGCGCGCCTGCTCGCAACTTCATCAGGCTGGAAAAGCAAGTTAAAGCGCCCCCTTCTCCAGACATCGAGCACCAAAAAAACGTTCCAGCACACACACGCTCCTCTCACTCCACATCCATTTTCTGGATGATGGCCTCCCACGGAAAGAAGACGTTCCGCAGCACCGTGTTGTCGATGGCGCTGCGCCTCGCTTTCATATCCAGCGCTACTTCTCACCGCTCAACTGGGGCGTTGCCATCTGGGTCACCGGGCCCCTGCTTTTGGGCCACTCCACCGGTGGCCACATAAGACTTGTCACTGCCACTCCGGCCTAGGATGTTCACCGAAGTCGGACATGTCACAACCGATCTTGGACAACGTCCAGTTCTGATTTCGGGTGTTTACAGAAGGTAAAATTGACAAGTTCTTCATGGCTCACAACCACAAACACAGAAAACAAAGCGAAACCGAAACCGTTCACAACCGTGACTTGACGATCACCATCCAAACCATTACCGGGACAACATCCGACCATGACTTTGACACACACACACACACCATGACCAGGACACGCTCCAAAGCATGAGCGAGACCATGCGAACCAATGACCGGCCGGGACAAGGAGACGCGACGCCCACCAGCTCTGCCCGGCTCTGCCGGAAACAGATTGCATTTCATAGCATTTCTTTATCCAATTCCACTAGGTCCCCCTTCTTTCCAACTCTAGTCGCGGCCTCCACCTAGTAGCTTGTTACATTGAAGCTTCAAAGACATACTAAAGAGATCTAAAAAGCTTTATTGTTGCTCCAGGTCCACTAGGTCCACTTATATCCACTGTCTTTAAACTCTAGGGCCTCAACTAATCAATGCCTTCTTGCGGGCATCACCGTCAACCACTACGGCCCAGCCATCAGGGCTAGGATCAATGGGCCTTGGCAGAATGTCACAGCGATGTTGAAGGCTGAAGACTTTGGGGTCAGATTTCGCTTAGGTCGGTATCCTGCAATCCGTCTCGCGCAAACACCCTCAGGTAGACCTGAGCTTCAGCACAATTTGTCGTATTTGTAGGCCGTGACACCCAAGACCTCCATTGCCTGCATAGCAAAAAGGAAAGCTACAGCGGAGCACAGCTTTTGTAGTTTCTTTTCTGAGCACCTGCAACAGAAAACTGATCTTACCTGTCGTTGTTTTGCTTGCCATCTCATGCGTCTGAGTCGTTGTCGTTTCTAGATTCTAGATGCCCGAAATCGTTTTGACATCAGTAATTAACGGAACCTCCACAAACCACGCATAGAGGATGCTGAGGTTGCCCCCTCTGTCAGTGCCATACCATAACTCCTCGGAGAGCTTGGTGCAACGTTTGATACATCGATGGTGACTCGTGAAGCACGAGCCCCTTTGGAAA